GTTCGAGAAAATACCAAGCGCTGCCTTCGATGTCCTACATCCAATAGAGGACATGTTGCAGGTATACAAGATGATAGGTTTCCGTCTCTCAACCTTCGGCGTACGGTATCAGGTGAAACTATGGTACCATAAACATCATCCAGTCTTCGAGTCAAAGGTGTAGCAGGAACTGTTCTTTCTCCAAAAAGCTTGAAGTCTCAGAAGCCGATCTTCAACTGCGTTTGTTGCTTTCCAACTTCCCTGCCCAGGTCTCCTTGAGTAAGAACCAGTTTCTTTAAATCTTTGTATCGCATCGAATACCGTACTGCGATATACCGAGAGAGGACGACCATCATCATCTTGTAAAGCTACAGCTTGCGCTACTTGTTCCGGTGTCATTTTTGTTGAGTATTGCTTGACAAGAGTCTGTTTGACATAAAAATGCTAACAGACACAGCCAACTTGAAACAATTTCTTACCCGGCAAAGCCTGCTTGAAACAATTTCTTGTTTATGGCTATGATGTGCATGATTTTTTTCAAAACAGCATATATTCTTCAATAATTGAGATATTGACATGAATGAAAAAAAGAACTGTTGAGAAAAGTTGAGGCTTAAAATTCTCATACGGAAACACATCATTCAGTGATCCAATGTTTCCACATAAACATCATCCAATCTTCTAGTCAAAGGTGTAGCAGGAACTGCTCTTTCTCAAAGAGCTTGAAGTCTCAGAAGCCGATCTTCAACTGCGTTTGTTGCTTTCCAACTTCCCTGCCCAGGTCTCCTTGAGTAAGAACCAGTTTCTTTAAATCTTTGTATCGCATCGAATACCGTACTGCGATATACCGAAGAGGACGACCATCATCATCTTGTAAAGCTACAGCTTGCGCTACTTGTTCCGGTGTCATTTTTGTTGAGTATTGCTTGACAAGAGTCTCTTTGACATAAAAATGCTAACAGACACAGCCTACTTGAAACAATTTCTTGTTTATGGCTATGATTTGCATGATTTTTTTCAAAACAGCATATATTCTTCAATAATTGAGATATTGACATGAATGAAAAAAAGAACTGTTGGAGGCTTAAAATTCTCATATGGAGACACATTATTCAGTGATCCAATGTTTCCACACTATGTTCTGAAGTTTAGGGCAAAATGCACCTTTTAGTTACACCCTGTATAACAACAAACATTTTCAAGTTTTTGCAAAATCGACAGTCTATAATGATGATACTGAAATTACCTACAACTTGACGGAAAAATTAACAAAATTGATGCAAAGATTGAAAAGTTATTTGAAATTTAATTTGAAGAAAATTTTATTTGTCCGGTTAATTTTGCGTGGCAGTGTATTTTTCTGGCTGCTCCAGAGTTATTTCACACGCCCTATCGCTCTTCAAATTTCAATCGTCACGGTCAGCATTTTTTTGACAGGAGAAAGCTTTTGTAGCCACTCTAAGGAGCAGTAAATCTAGACATCATTGCCCTACATTTTTCCCGAAGTGTGAGATTTTTCAGAAATGGCTTAGTTCCTAAAGCCCCTCAGTCGTTGGCCAGACATCCCACCACGGTAATGCTTGCAGCATTTCTTCATAGTGGTTAGCGTTGCGCTAGGTTTCCATACCGAAAGTATTAGTCATCTATTCTCTATCTTAAACTTACATAGATCTATACCTATGCAGGTACATATACAACCGAGCAAAATAGAAAGCTACTATTTGTTCCCTGTTCTATTTTTGTTCTCCCGTACCGTACTCAGCATCATTCGCCTCACTATTGGTTGAATATCAACCCATTTTCTCTGGCATATATGCTTGGCAAAATTGTCAGCAACAATCACGTTCCTAGATCCGCCATTCTGACTGAGTGACCCCGCCGCTGAGTCAAAGGCTTTATCTGCCCTTTGTTGAGCAGCAAGAATCAATATTTAGAGCAGAATTTCGGTGTCCAAAATCTCAATAACTCTAGTAGGCTTACTGAACTTACAAAAGGACCGGAACAAGGATATCGTCCAATAAAATACTGGTTCTTCGAACTCATGACGTTGCGTATTCTCTTTATTTTAGTTATTTAACCCCATATCGTCAGTCGTCCCTACAATTGTAGGGCGCCTTTATGGCCTCCTTGATTGTCATAGTTTTCTGCTTCTCCGTGTCAGAACTCTATTTTGAGGTTATGTCACAAACCTCTATTTGCGTCAAATTGTGCTTGCTTTTGAGTTATATCATGTTTTATCAACCTGAAATTTCCTACAATTTAAAAAGAAAACATATCTTCACAATAGGAGAGCGCTAACGCTCACACGGGACAAGTGTAATCTAGAAATTTTTGAAGGAGAGAAACGAGGATGACAAAAGGAGGCCATAAACGCGCCCTAGAATTGTAGGGACGACTAACGATATGGGCCTTAGAGCTGTAAGTTTGACTAAGGTTCCGGTTACCATGGATGCGTATTCTGACTAATTCGTCCAAATAAACACCTCAGTGAACCTGCTCACACAGGCAGCGAGCAGAACGTGATAGCATACCCGACATCCTGAGAACCTTTTGAATGACAATGATAAATTGATGACCCTTGTATACGAGAACAGCTTACTTTGAGATATGAGAGACAAACATTATCAAAAATAACATTTCAATCTCTCCTTTGCCATCTCTACTAGACAATAAAAGATAACATGCTCTATTTTCCGCCATTTAGCAACAGTAACTTCAGTAAAGGACTTTCATGAAAATAAAATTCGTCAACTTCGTCCATATTTGCTGGGCGGCAGAAACGTACTAGCTACCAAAATCTCGAAGAACCGTCTTGTTCTGACGAGGATCTCGGACGTATTCGTTAGACAAAAAATTCGGCATAATTCGCATCCATAGTAACCGTACCCTAAGACTGTATTGTGTTCTTCATGTAATTTTGTGTCATTTATCTTTTGTTAAAACATATAGTTTCTCATACGTGCTATGAAAATAGCGCCGATAGCATTAGTTTGGACCAACTGTTTTGTTTTTTAGTTTTTATTTTCACTGTTATTTTCGGTTGGTTTATTCTTAGCCATTGTCCAATACTGAATGATACTCGTTATCACCTATTAAAAGCTGCACTCCTCCCGTCATACTCTATTTTCTATTCTGCTGCAGGCTAATCGTAATCTTTTGGAATGAAACAATCATACTGATCAGATACAAACACTAGACACAGAATAAAATAATAAGTAGCAGGTTGAAAATATATCCTTCATGTAACATTTTATCAACTACTTGGATCGTATTATTGGCAGTGTTCTCTCTTGAGGTACATATTGTAATGAAAACACCGTTTTTACTGTTCAAAATCTAATTTAATTTATAACACTTGAACTAATTTATAGCCATGTCAGGTGGTCTATGATGATGCAACGGCCGCTTCTCGTTGACAGTCTCTCTGGTGTGGGAGACTGGGTTCTTATTTTGAGTTCAACGGTTCCAGAAAATGTCGACTGAAATTCTTCAAAGAGGCCGCAATCGCTTTCGCCCAGAAGCGTAATTCTGGTTGCCTAGGCTTCCGTGTTTCTTGACACCTGTTGGATCTTTTGGCCGATAAACGAGGGTGCCTCGCTGGTACCCAAAGTTCCAGTTATACGAAGGCGTTACAATTTTTTTTACGAAAGTGTATAAAAATCTTACATCTTGCAGAGTTGCTAGCTTTTCTACTAGAAAGAAAATACCTGACAGTCTTAAGCAAGCAACGATCTGCAATTATTGCCTAAACTTTTTCCTAAACTAAATGTCCCATATTTCATGCACATGTACAGAAAAATCTTTGAGGATAACGGTCCAAAAAACAAAATGGCAGTGATGTCAATAATTGATAAGATGCTTGTGAAGGCGACTTCCTTGAAAGCTCAGCCATCAAGGAAGCTTCCTCGACAACTACCTCCTACAGTTCGACTAATTTGGGAAGAGAAACCACCCGAAAATGAGAATAAATCAGAGTAGAAAAAAGTAAAGACGAATCTGCAAATAGAATGATTTAAATTTTGATGCATATAACATTATTCTTTGAGAATGGATCAGTTGTATATTATTAAAAAAATACAGTGCTTTTATTGAACTGGTTAAAAGGTACTGAAAACTGTTTAGTTTCTGATGAATTTGTGCAAAAATGGTGGTATTTGATGATGTTGATCTTGACTGATATCTCAAGTCACCCATGTTACCATTCGTTGAATTTGAGTATACTAAAATTGATATTACCAAAAAATCAGCACCTTGAAATATCTTCTGCTCTCCTCTATACTATCATCTGGCTATTTCTTGTATCAAGAAGTTTGTCCTATTCTTTTCGACCCAACTTCTAGCAAATGTATTTGAAACAAGGAGTAAAATATTACTGCTTTATGGAACATAAACATCCAACTTGCGAATATGGTCTTGTAATTTGTAAAATATTAAGTAGTTCTAGTTTGTGGTATCTAAAACTTGCATGGAAAACAATATCCCGTATAAGTACAAGTTACAAGAAAATTCACTTGTAATTACTACGCCATACTTTTTATGGAGTAGAACCCAGATAGATCATTTCGTAATAAGTTTAAGGTCACAAGGTACTGGTAACGAGTGTGGAAAGTTTCGCAATGACCTATCACATGACCCCCATCCTATATAAAAAATGTTTGACCGTTATTTTTACGTCAAAAAATATAGTATTCATGCACCAATCCCAGTAGAAGGGAGGGGGCTTTTTGAAAAGCACTGTAGAAAAGCCATAGCCGCTAGATGCCGCTGATTCTGGTGGTATAGTAAATAAGTTTGGACGAACAAAAGCTTTCTACTAGTTTGTTCAATGGCGAGTTGATCGTATCTACTGTAGCGCCAGAATCGTAGCGGCCACAGTGCTGACTCGGCGGTTAAATGCAAACTAGGATACAGTTCCAACAGACAGCTACTGTTTCACCTCTCGCATTGGTCGATTCCTATAATAGATGGCACTTTTTTTCGATAAGCTTCAGGTGTTACATTCCATTTTGTTTCTGTTCCAGGTGGTCATGGTACGTTCTCCAACCTCATCAACAACATGGTGCATGTGATCATGTACTTTTACTACATGGTGTCAGCCATGGGACCAGAATACCAAAAGTACATATGGTGGAAGAAGCACGTGACCACCATTCAGCTCGTGAGTATAATTATAAAACATAAAATCCAATTTTGAATTTTTATCACTGCGACTTTGAGAAGAAAAATCATATGTACAGCTTCTTGAAAATAATACAAATAACCTCATTGACCAGAATGATAACGCTTTCGCCAGGACAGTTGCAGAGTAATGACCGATTGCGCATCGTGCCCGCACATCTTGTCATGTGACGTCCGTTCAACCTCAGACGCTCTTCGTCAGTCCCTTACTTCGCCATCATTACGTTTTACGTCTCTGTCGGTATTGGATTTGTGAAGTGCGCTAAGCAATTCAGTTTTTAAGCGCAAAAAAGTTCATCTTGATGGAATTTATCCGCAGCTTGTTGAAGTTATTAATTGAAGCTTAGGCGCGCTGTTGACCACCGCCTGCGCGATGGGATCTTCTCGCTAGCGTTCTGCTTCACGACAACGCTCGATCTCACGTTCTGGCATGCCAGAACACAGATTCAATTGCACAAGTTTCGTTAAGTATCACTGGATCATCCATCATGCAGCCCTGATCTAGCACTATCTTACTTTCATCTTTCTCCAAAACGTAAGCACTTCCTGGTTGGGAAGCGCTTGAAAAATGATGTCATCTAAAAGGAACAGTTATTAGCTGGTTTAGCGGTCAGGCGGCATGCGTTTTTTGACGTAGGGGGTTTAAACGCCGGTATCAAATATTAAGATTTTTATGGTGTTGAAAAGTAAAAAAATGTTCATATTTTGGTTTTTGATACAATTTTTACATTCATAAATAATAAATAAACCTTCTCCAACTCGATTACAAAACGGTTCTTACTTAAAAAATGATGCTCTATAGGTGTATAATAACTAAATCTATACAAAGTCTGCGATAAGTTCTATGAGGCTTAGTAATTTTTAGTAATTAAAATTCAAAATTGCATTTTTCTCTTACACGTACTGTATTTTCATGTGAAGTTAAAACAAATCGCCTTATATCATATTGAAAAACATCAGTAACGCTAGAGACTGCTGAAAAATAAGCATTGTAGCTTCATTGTTAAACAGGACGATGCCATGTCTAGGCTAAATAATTACAAATTTGAGAAAGCTTATCGCATGAATCAAGCTGACATTTTTAATGGTTTTTGAGCAGCAAAAATTCGTCTACTTCCAACTTAAGCTAAATTTGCTCATGGATTTTTGTAGCTTTATGCTTTGGACTAGATATTAGATCCGCTATTGAAAATTGGATCTTTTTGACATCCGCGCTACACTGCATACATGGAGGTTTCAAATGAACAAAAAAATATTAAACATTCTGCGTTCTCCAACCACAAACAGCCAACTATGGACAGCTATTTTGTGCTTTCTTGTAACTCATCAGCATGGCCTAGGCTTGGTATCTGGGAAAACAGCAAATATGTTGTTTGGGCTTTGCGCTGTTTTATTTCGATAGACCTCATACATCGCACAGAGAAAAACCGCTATCAATTCGTTCATTGTACACCGAAACCCAGCCTAGACCATCCTGATGAGTTGCCAAAAAGCATAAAACGGCTATCTTTGTTTATCTATATCTGGCCGGATGGACGAAGGCAGCATGTTTAGTTACAACCGATAGCTGCTACACACTCTCCCATGGTCCGATTCTGGTAATAGATGGCGCCTTGCGGTGTGATTATTTTGACTAAAAAAATATGTTTGTTAATACCTGTACGCAGCTAATTTCATTGTATGTACATAGGTCACTCGGTAAGCCTTGTCGGTCGGTGCTAAATTAAAGTTTAAAGAGATTAGTCAAACACATGCATATAGTAAATGCCAAGATGAGATCGTCAGTATTCGTTAGACAATTGTTTTGCATATGCTAGTCTCTAAATGTCGCCTTTAATATATTCCCAGATTCATGCAATTATTTGCTATAATTTTCGACGTCAACAATGAAAAGATGGAGTACGTATTCAATGAGAAATGCACCAAAAAAAGGTGAAATTATTTAAAAAAACGCTCGAAACACTTATAAACAAACAGAAGAGGATCTAAAGATATCTGGACGGGCGGTAAATAAATTTTTGTATGAAAATTTGAAATTACATCAAGTGTGCACTTATTTTCCATGAGCTGACTGGCGAGCAAAAAACAAATAGTATCGAATCGTGCAACGGATGAAGTTAAAGTTTAAATCAGGACAATTCACCGAAGTATTTCCAATGGCAACAAAGCCTCACAGAATGTGTGGATGTTTGACAGCAATGACTACCCGGCGATGTCCAAGCAAACACGACAGGCAAGGAACAGAATGGTTTTGGTATTATTCGGTCTTTGTGACGTTAAGAAAAGAATTCTTTTAGAAACTCAAGGAATGATACCAACAAACTATGACAGGGGAATATTCTTATTTACTTATGCAATTGTTCCTAAAAATAACTGGCTAGTTTAGCATCATGCGACGTCTTATTTTTTTATGCCTAAAAATAAATTGAAGTGTGAAAAATGAAAGCAATGGTTTGGACACTGGTTTGAGAAGATAAACAAGTGATACTAGTGATGGACCTTGTTTAGGAAAACAGCACTTAAGTAGTGAACGACAATTATTACTGAATGACCTACGTATGTTCTTGAAACCAAGACATTTGGACGTGCACAAAATAATAATATTCCGGAAAAGAGAAAATTCGTTATCATGTCCTTCAAGTCCTATCAAGTCAGCTCTCTCGAATTGTATTAAAAGACATTCAATCAATTTGATTTCAAATCAAATTAGTTATCGAGCAGAATTTGACATGAAGCGCTTGAGTGGCGCAGTTTCATGAGCGCACCAAGTATCTTAAAAACTTGAAGAAGAATGGGGGCTAAGGGACGTATCGTCAGTCGTTCTTACAATTGAACGGCTTTTCGCAGAAAGGAACCACCCCAGAAAAACAATTATTAACCAATTAGGCTTTAAAGTTTTGACAATGATAACAAATTCATTTCAGACCAAACACGATTTTAATTAATGGCATACTGAAGGCTTTAAATATGTGTATGGATCTTTTTTACAGTGAATGGTATTGCTCATAATAGTTTATTTTCCGAGAATCTAGATTTTTTATATTTAGTGGGTTGGTTCCTTTCTGCAAAAAGCCGTCCAATTGTAGGACGCTTTTATGGCCTCCTCGATTTTCATCGATTTCTAGTGTGCCGTGATAGCGCTCTATTTTGAGGTTATGTCACAAATATCTATTTGCATCAAATTATTCGTACTTGATTTATCATCTGTTTTATCAGAAGGGAAATTTTCTACAATTCAAAAAGAAAACATAACTTCACAATAGGAGAGCGCTGACGCTGACTCGAAATGGAAGAAATCTAAAAATACTAGCCAATAAAGGCGACCTACAATATTATAGGAACGACTGACGATAAGGCCCTAAGAACACTAACCAAAAATAGGCTATCGAAATAAGTCCGCACAAAGTGTCATCTATCACCAGAATCGACTACTGCGAAAGTGCAAACAGCAAGCTGTGGCCAACCATGAATAGCTGTTTTGTGCTATTTGGCAACTCTTCAGCATGATGTAAGCTTGGTTGGCCGGTGGGCAATACGAACTACCGCACAGTTCCACCTGACAGCTTGTGGTCGATTCTGGTCATAACGGGTGTTTTTTTTTCGAGGTATAGAACTTTAAGTTGGCGTTACTTTTGAAGATGGCGACCGATTTGACAGCTGTCAAGTGATTTATTCTCAGTTTGGTTTGGCAATTCATCATGAATAGACTCATGCCTGAACAACGCTTGCAAATTATGCAGTTTTATTTCAAAAATACTGGTTCTGTGCGGAATACGTATCGCGCAGTACGTCCATTTTATTGTCGACAAAATCGTTCATCAGAGCAGTTAATTCGATTAATCATGGAACGTTTTCGCACCACGTTTGCTCTAATTGATAACTCGCATCCCCAGAGACGCCGTACGGTGCGTACAGAAGAAGCTATTGCTACTGTAGAGCGTAGCATTGAGGAAGACCCGAATGAGTCCATCCGCCATCGAGCACACAAATTGAAACTTGGTTTGCGTGCTTACAAAATCCAACTCGTGCAATAATTGAAGCCAAACCATCATCAGGCAAGGCGTAGATTCATTGAATGGGCCCAAAACGAAATTGCCGTTGTTCTCGATTTTCATAAGCGAATTTTGTTTAGCGAGGAAGCGCACTTCTGGTTGAATGGCTACGTCAACAAACAAAACTGCCACATTTGTAGTGAAGCTAATCCTTAAGTCTATGTTGAAACACCGTTACATCCAGAAAAACTGACTGTTTGGTGCGCTTTATGGGCTGGTAGAATCATTGGTCCGTACTTCTTCAAAAACGATGATGCCCAGAACGTTACAGTCAATAGTGATCGGTATAGAGCCATGATTACTAACTTTTTCATTCCTGAATTGAACAATCATGATGTCCAGGAGCTGTCGTTCCAACAAGACGGCGCAACATGTCACACAGCTCGTGCTACAATCGATTTATTGAAAGACACGTTTGGTGACCGCCTAAGTTCACGTTTTGGACCTGTGAATTGGCCTCCAAGATCTTGTGATTTAACACCGCTAGACTATTTTCTGTGGAGTCATTGGTCTATGCGGATAAGCCACAAACGCTTGACCGTTTGGAAGACAACATTCGCCATGTTATTGCCGATATATGGCCACAAATGTTGGAAAAAGTCATCGAAAATTGGACGTCCAGATTGGACTACATCCGAGCCAGCCGTGGCAGTCATATGCCAGAAATCATATTTAAAATGTAATGCCACAAGATTATCTTTCGAATAAAAAAATGTCAATAAATTGATAATAAGTTCTATACCTCTAAAAAAACACCCGTTAGATGGCACTTTTTGCTGTCTTATTTCGATATACCTTATACACTGAATAGAGTTGCTCAGCTTTCGTATCCACAGAGGTCAAACCTACACCATGCTGAAGAGTTGCGAAACAACACGAAACAGCTACCGATGGTTGGATGTGTCGACTCGGACAAGCGAAAGCTATATTTCTAGTTTGTTCAAAAATATACTGTCAAGATCCGGATTACTCTGCAATTTTGCCGCCCTTTAGCTAGTTCATACTTTTATAATTTATTTCATATATTTTCTTACAGATCCAGTTCACTTTGGTGTTCGTTCACTCAGCGCAGATCTTGTGGACAGACTGCGGTTACCCCAGACTGGTAGGCGGCTTTCTATTAGTTCACGCCGCCATTTTCTTCGGCCTTTTCACGAACTTCTACTACCAGACGTACAACAAATCCAAAGCCAAAGCAGTCAAGCAAGAGTAGACCATATGGCCATACTTAGGATATTGAAATATTTATTCAACAACTTGTTACTCTTTTTGAAAATAAGGTGCCAAAGCGAGAAAGCCTTAGGTGTAGAACGTGAACGAAAGGGTAAATTATTGTTTTGTTGCTTTTGACTGTTTGTTATTTGTTAAGTAGCATCAGGATAGGAGTAGCTGAGATGACAGCTCCAAAAGTATAAATTGCGAATAGTGTGGAAACTTGGCTGAATTGTTAGTTTATTAATAGGAAAATAGCCTAATACTTGAGAGAATGTCAAGTTTCCATTCAAGTCGTATATACAAATTGTTCCACATGGAAATTATTATCACAATCAGAAAAATATAAACAAATACATTTCCGAATTTCAAGACTCCAATCCGGGCAAGGGTAAGTAAGATTCCATGTAGTGAACGGAATTACAGTTCACATTTACAATGGTTGCCCTCGCAACAGTTTTGAGGGCAAAACACTGGATCCAATAGAAAGATCACTATTATTTTGAAAACCAGGAGACGACTATAAAATATGTATCAGGAAATGGAAAGAGGCAATCTATATCTTATGCAGATATCAGCAAACCCTTGCAAGGCGGCTAAAAAGGTGTTTTCTATTATACAATATGAGTTTCTAGCGCGGGCTCGATCGATCGAAAATTGTTGCTCGTTGAATAATATTTTTATCTCTACAGGGTGATTCATAACTAAGTGCTGACCCGCGCATACATTTTCTAAACGGAAAGACCTACATCATATTGCAGATTAGAAAAGGCTCTTTCAAATGGTGCAGTTCGATATAACACGTTTTGTCTTCAAATTGTTGAGATATTCGATAGTCTATCGAAAAAAATATTCAAAATTGAAAATTTGATCTCCCAGCAACTTTTATAGCTAGACCCCAGTAAAATTGTATTATCCCATTATTGTTTCCCTACCTGCTTACTTTGTCAGTTTTCAGGACAGCTTATACAGAGATGAAACCTTTATATTTTCACACTCTTTGATTCCCCGTTGCACATTTTTCTCATATAAGGTTTATCTGGGCTTATACGACTGGATTACAGCTACCCTTTTTGTAAATTAGATATCAAGGTAAATGAAAAATATTACAATATCTTTCAAAATATGATAACGACAGATTGTTGGTATTGATGTATTTTCATAATACAAGGACATCTAATTTTTCCGAAAGAAATCAAAAAAACACGTTGCTAAGTAATATTTTGACAAGAAGCATGAGTGCTAGTGGCAACAGAAATCCGAGTCGAAGACGGGGATTTTGCATCCGCACGATTTTTTTTTTAAATTTTACTTTGCATGGCGTTCTTTCAACAGGAAAAAATTAGATGCCCCAATGATATTTAACAAGGCTATTTCATGAGTAACAGAGTAACTGTTTAAAAACAATATTGCAAAATTTATTGAAAATAAAATCAAAAAATGGTTCAGCGTCGTTTTTGGGTGTCCTAGGAGACCATAATTACTTGTTATCAAAGATGTTGTAATGTTTCGAGACAACGCTGTCAAGTTTTGCCGCGGGTAAAGTCCAAAAAAACTGCTGACACGTGTTCTGATACAATTTTTTCATCTAGGAACCATTTGTAATTCAAAATTGCTCGTTTGTGATTGGTGTAAATTAAAACGAGAGAAAAAGTCATTATGAATCAAATCTACCCAAACGTATGCAATAAAGTAAAAAAGTTAAGGTGTTTTTAGTAACAAAAAAAAGTCGTTCAAACCCGCATGAACTTGTATCAGAAAAAAAGCTTGTGAAACGGATAATGAATGAATACGAAAATATATAGAGTGCTTTGAGAAGCAGTTGATTTTGCGTTCTTGATCACCTTGTATAGACTGACCAAAAAACTGAAAAAGTAAGCAGGTTGGGAGAAAATATGTCACGGCAAATTCAGTACTCTAGCTATAACATATAATATTTGGAATAAAATGTGGTTCCTTTCATTTAAAAAAATGTTTGGGTCACTATGTAGCTATGAACCAAGTGCGAACCCAGAGGGGGGCAAGGAGGCATTAGCCACCTCTTTACCCTAGCTCAGCAAAAATTAAATTATTCATGTACAGGGTGCTCCACAAGCAGAATCAATCTATTAAATGAGAAATTACTGAGAATATTTAAAATATATATTAGATATAAACTTAATTTTGCTAAGAGCATGGATTACTTGAACGAACGTAACAAAAAATGTATGTATACATCTGAAAGTTATTCTCCCATTTGATGTTTTTTCTCGATTTCAGTACTTCTCTGGCCTATTGATTTGATTGAAAAAATGAGCACCCTGTTTGAATTTTTTGGGATATGTACACCCCAAGAAATAGGCGTATAAAATTTGCAGTATAGCAAACATTTGTCATATATTATCTCAAGAGTTACTTTCAAGTATTGCAAAGTTGTTAAATGGTGGTGGAAAAATAATAAATGGATTAAACAATGAAATGCAAATAGAAAGAAAAATATCAACCACAGTTAAGTAGATATTAGTTCTGGAACTTCCACCAAAAAAATTTTTGTACAGGGTACGCCCTTGCTATGAACCGGCGTGTATAAACAAAAAGTCAGGAGCATGATGTTGGCTGCAATTTTTGTATTAAACTTTTTAGACACCATGCATAATATCGCAGTTATCGGCTTAGTCCGCACTAAAAACTCACCCTATATGTAGGAGCTAAGGGGACATTGTTTCACTACGGAATTCCAGCTACCCCTGCCTCGCACATGCCTCGATAAATATTGCCTAGAACTAATGAGATATTCTGAAAGTTTGTGTTTTCATTGTGGTTGGCGCACAACGATTATAATTGCTTTCTTGCTAATCGCCACAAATAATATCGAACACCCAATAAAAATAATTTTGAATGAAACTTTGTACACATATTGTTAGATAAAAGGAAGTGGAATTCGTGATTCAGTTTTTAAGTTAATACATTTGCGATATGCTGATACCGTATACATTCATCTAGTCGTCGGGGCATGCTTCTAAGGGAGTGATTATGTCTTTCATGGTAGCGTTTGTGGAAGATGAGATATTCTTCCCCATCATATCATGCACATATTCAATGGGCGAAAGATCTGGAGATCTAAGAGGATAAGGAAGGAGGTTGATTTAGCAGTATTGAAGCAGTCCATTGTTTCCCTACCAATATCGGGAAAAACATTACCTTGTTGGAAGTGGGGTTCTCAATCATTTGGAGAAATAGCAAAAGATGAGGCTCCGGTATTTCATGAAAATACCGTTGTTCTGACTTATGGTGCTCCAAATTAGAACGTGTCTTTTGTGCATTCCTAAACAGAACCAAAACCAAGGAAATTGGACTGATCAATGGTCTGACATTGTCTTTAGTATACAGATACTTTGGACGGGTTCTAAAACGCTGTTGTAGTCATGTTGTGTTTAGTGATGAGTCTTTATGCTTATTTCTAATTGAATACAAAATTTCTTTCAAATTAAATAATTTTCATAGGATGGTATATTTTCTTGGTCACTGAAAAATATATTACCTACACTTAACACTTGAAACAGATATTTGTAATCAAGCTTGGACGTACGCAAATCAATAAAATATTGTTAGAGTGCAATCATGGCCAGTTGATGGATAGCACAATAATTTACTATAAAAGTCAATACACCTTTAGTCGGCCTATAAAATTTAACGTTTTGATTTAAAAACAAAACAAGGTCGAAAAACAACATAAATATCAAGCCTTTACTGTAAATTCAATGCATATTTCTTCAATCACCCTGTATGTGCTCTTCGTATAAGCGAAAAATGTCAAGACAATGAGATTTTTCCATGTAGAATAGACTATATTTTACCTTAGCAGTAAGGCTCCTTAGTTACTGTGATGTGAAAGATAAGGAGTACAACCGATAAGCAACAAAACAATATTTTGATAATGAACAATGCTTTTACTAGTTGTTTGATGTATACGAAACACATTTGACAATAACAGCAGCAGTAATTCAGTTTCTCTGAAAAAACAATCAACAGGATGCGCGGTTTGTAAAAACGATTGGAACCCATTTTAATGAATTCTAAGAAAGAGGGAAATTTTGATTCTGAGAATTGAGCAATGATTGAGTCAAACAAAAATGTACCCCTTTTTGAAAACTTCAAAGTATTTAGATGATTGAAAACTTATCTGTATTTGTTTTTCTTTGAGCTATTTTGGTTTCTAAATGTCTTATGTACTTATAATGAAAAAAATCTTACAGGTTTGACAAAATTTTCCTCTTTGCCAGTTTCCCCTATGGATAAATTATGACGAAATGTAAAGGTCTTCAAACATTTTCTATTACGTTTGCGGTTACATCTTTCTCCAATTCAAACTTTTCCTACTGAATCGAAAAAACTAACATGAAATCATGATTGAAAGCATTGTTTAATTTACTTCACGGATATAGAGTAAATGAAATTCCAGAGACAACTGACGTGTAATATTTGTCCTGCTGTTTCAATTTAAATGCCTAATTTGAGGCGTGATGATCAGTTTCCAATACCATTACTGAACTTTACTTTTTTCTTGATGAAGTGAAAATCGCAATTATCTCTGTAAAAGTGTATATGTAAATAAAAGTTTAAGACTCGATGAACCTTCAAAAGAAAGGAGGTGGGTAGATAAGGGCCATTTTTCGCCCATAACACACTCAAAAATAAAAAGTTCGATTCCAGACTATTATTGAATTTATTTGTGAACTTTCAGACATGTATTTTTTCATTAAATAATATTTACGGTATAAATAATGTAATATGCTTCAGAAATTATTTCCAAGAAATAGAGTATTTAGCGCTTTTTATGCATTATTGTTGTTTTTCGATCTTCGAATCATGTTTTCCCTACGAAGCGTTCCATGAACCACATTAACTTTAATGCTCAGTGAGTCTACTTATTATAAGCTTGTATATGAGTATTTATTTGTTTTGGTGCAGTAAGCGCATTAATCCAAAAATACGTAATATATGCTGCGGGAGAGTGTGACTCACGTTCAGACATGATTTTTCGCTCTCGAAAAGTATTTACGTAGTAAAGGTATAGGTAGATCTGATAGTGATTCGAATGAAGAAGACAAGGAAGAAGATTAGTAAAAAATATATTAAGTATATGAAAATGATTATCTTTTATAATTGTTTAATAAACATATATAACACTCAGATAATTATTTAATTTATGTATACCACGGACTTCAGTTTTCATTTGAAATAAGTATGTTTTCTTCTTTGTTATAGAGTATACTCTTCATAAATATATCTATCGCTGAATGGCTCTTATCAGCTGACCTCCTTTCCTCCTATCTATATTAACTAACAGAAAGACTTTCAGTATTCTAGAGGAATGCAAACTAAGTACTGCAACGGGATTTCATATGACACTATTAGAACTTTCTAACTTCATGAAAAATCGATTAAAGTGCAAAAGTAATTGGAAAATGATCTTCACGACTCAGGCCTCTAGGATTAAGTGCTCTTATTTAGTCAACAGTAATTTAAACATTATGTATAGTATCGCTTTGTATATGGCGTGGATGAAATTGTTGACTGTGATTTAACTTATTATGAAATTACCCATATTTAATGAGTGGAAGATACTCTAAACTGGCCTGTTATCTTTTTTATAAGAAATGCTATACCAGACACAGTATGTTCGTTTTCTACTGCTTTTGTCTTTTCGGTAACATTTCTTAATAAAGCTACTATCATAACAAATACGAACCAACTTTAATTACATCAGTTCTGCAGAACAAGAACTCGATCTAAATGAGAAAAAGAAATTTCCTGCTACAGAACTTCAGTCCTCAGCTTGTTGAAACCGGTGCAGCATTTCTGCAAACCTTTTTGTTTTCGTTAATGCAGATGTATTCTGCATTGACTAAGTCTTGATCTTATACCGACATTTGGTTTTCTATACCTCATATGTGCAATATTTTGTTCTTAGTTCCAGTATGTAGATACTCCTTATGAAGTACTGTTTATTTTATATATCAACACAACATTTACGGTTCACATAGTGGTGGAAGGTTTTGGTCAGAGTTTGAAATGTATCTGAATTTCGAACTGAGGTTGATACATCGTCAAGATAAGGTACTTGAATGCTGGTTCTGATTTCATTCTAAACGTCTCTCGCTCTCTGTTACGTTATATAAATCACGTAAATTCAAAAATGTTTGTCTGGCATCCCATAAGATCTATCGTTTGCCATTTGACATAAAATGAAGGGTAAATTTGAACTTGTACTTCATAAGGTACTTCCAGTAGAAGTAGTTTTATAGAATAAACATATGATAACCTAGTCATACTATTTTGTAAAATATAAGTTTGTAAGGTGTTCTATATATATTAGGACTAGATTTTAGGTACTGAATGGAGCTAGGGTGTTCAGATTTAACGGTAGAAAATGGGACAGAAAAGAAAAATGAATAGGCACATTCTCACATCAACAAAGAAGATGGTTGACTGTCATTTAAGACAAAACATCAATCAAGATCTGTAGATCTATGTTGTAGCAAGCGGATGAACAGTACAATATTTGTAATCCTTATTATAAATATGAGTACAAGCATTGATTACTGTATTCTACTCTACCTGAAGATAGCCAAAATAATGCTACATTCCCGTGACCAAAAAATTTTCTCAGATAAAATGAGATACGGTAGTATCATCTATGAGGATTAGCTGCTTCTTATTTAACTATACAGAGAAATCCATATACCACTGACTGCGTAATGTGTACGAGAGAGAAGCACGACAAGCATGCAATACGTATGTTAGAAAGGGATAGAAGCACAACGTTGCCTAACAACCCGAGTGACGAGGCAACGTACTCAGCTGCGGCTTGCCGTGTTACCATCGGCGTACTCTTTATAACATACATCTTGCCCGCTCCTAGTGCTTCTCTCTCATACACATTAGGACGTCAGTGATATTTGGATTCCTCTGTATAAAGGTCAGTGTCTCATAAATGACGCTGTAGTTTGAGCATATATGACCATCTTTGAAATACCATCCTTTTTCTGCTTCAGGTAGAATGCTTTGATCAATGGTACAACTCAGTAGATCGTATGCCACGCTTATTATTGGAAGTCAGTAGATCATCTGTCACGCTTATGATTGCAAAAACACAGTTCTACTCGTCAATGTCTGCCAGAACGGTCCGTAGGCTCTACAGTCTGACCAAATGTTGATCTGCTGAACTGGTTCGGAACGATTTAAAAATCTTGTATATTTTCTTATTTTGAGTATAGGGTAGGTGTTGTCTTGTAGTAATTTGTGAAAAATGTACGTTTCATTTTCATTAAAACAATTTCAAATATATTTAATTTGTACATTGGATGGTAATGTAGCTAAATATTTGCTCAAAATTTTATATTTTTAATAAAGCGTGTTGAAAAATACGGAACTGTTGGTTTTACTACTTTACTTTTATCTTAGGTTGTTTCCTGGAGTAAAGCAAGGCTCCTTCACTTCAACTGATAGAGAAACACGCTACGTATTCCAGAGTGAAAAAGTAGTGGTGAGGAGGCTATCCAACTAGGACACATTTGTCCCAATCTTGTGAAATTCGTATCGCCAAACTCTATGAGCCATATCCAGAAAATAACCTCAGTATTAGGATCATTTAATAGATTGACCCTTAGAGCGGATCTAGGGGGGTCATGGGGGTCATGACCCCTCATAGTGTTATGCACTTGGTGTGTACTCGTTCCGTAGCTGTACGGGTTGCCTAAACGTCATGATGCTTCAGCTATCAATGTTTGGCTGTGAGGTGATGTAACACCTGCTTCAGAGATGACATTGTTGGAGGTCTAAGCTGTAAGTTGTATACTATAGCTGGAAATAAACGGAAATGCATAGTGAGGATTTGTGTGCTAATAATAGTCTGTGTTGAAGATATTCTATTGGTTTCTAATCTCAAATACAGTTACTTGAGAGATATGCAAAGCTAAAAACTTGAAATTTACATATGCAAATTTGCTGAACTTCAAAAAATAGAGCGATAAAAAAAGAAATCCCTGGTTGGTGAAGCATATGAAAACTAGCAGGTGAGAAAATATGGTACATCCAGGAATATTTATGAAACGTAAAGTTATTACGTTTTTTTAGTCATTCCTTCATAGATAGACGCTTCTGATGACGCTCACAGCGCACTCATAGCGAGCAAACGCCGAATGTACTATTTGCATCCGAGGAACTATCTAGGCAGCAAGTTGACATTTTGTCGGTTTTTATTTGCGTTTAATAGGTTTTTACGTAATAACCTTGCTGAGCCGGTCACCCCTCACCGCTCTACAATTTTTCAATTGCCAATAGGCTGGATCCGCCATTGTCTTTAGGTAAACGGAAGTATTGCATCGTGATAATATATTTACTGATGTGATATTGTTGTCTATTAATCTTTTGAGGTTAGTTCGATGTCGACAGGTATCACATTTATTTTGTACTTTTTGAAATCGTATGTTACATAGCACAGCAGTGATGTGAAAAATGGCCTCTGGGTCAGAAAGTATTGTGATCGCAAAAATTTTTGAAAATGAGGAATTTGTCTGTGTGGGAACAATCGTCATTTTGGTTTGACCTAGAATTGCACGATTTGATTTTGTTCACAGTACGAGCCGCGGTCTTGTGTGCTTGATGCTCTACTGTGTAGTCTACTGACTCGCGCAATAGAGGGTTGCTGTGCGATTCCGCCTGACTATAACGTAACTTCGTCTGTTGTTTGATATAGTTCCTTAGGTAAGAAATGTCGAGGTCTCTGTGAAGGGTCGCATTGGAGGCATACGATGGGGCGTTTCTATTATTGTAGCAACCATTGAGGCACAGCGGACTCCGGATGAAGCCTCACACCAAAATAAATATAATCGCATCACTTAGATTGTATTTTCAGTATCGGCAATGTTGAATGTTTGTGCTGAAGAAGAAAAACGGATAGTATCTTTACTAACCTAAAAAATATATACATCATTGGATGAAGAAGAAGCACTATTGTTCCTTGCAGAGGAAGAAGATAATGTAAGGTAAAATAATTTTATTGATATCTAAAGGTTAGCATGCTTATAACGGTACGTATCGAAAGTGGTCCAGAAAATTGATGAAGAAAGGCGGGAATATCGTGAATTTCACATATTAATGCCACAAATACGATAAGACGAGAAACGATTCTATATTTATTTTAGAATGGCAATTGCTTGTTTTGATTGAACTCTTACTTGAATGATATTCGAAAATTAGTCACAAATTATCAAAAATCTATTTCACCTTACAATCGTCTAGTTACTTCAAGGTAAGAACAACAAAAATGTGACGATGGATTTATTGACCCCGCAGAACCTGAGCTTGGAGCTTTTCAAAATGTATAAAATGATCGAACGATGCTCTCCAAGCTTGGAATTTTCTGTATGAGAAAGATTCGTTGCGTCCTTTAATTCAGGATTGTAATAAAGACTTTTATGGTAACTAAAACAATATAAATACCCTGCGTGTATTGTTAGAATACTGTTATAATACTTTTACAATGTTGACTAGAATATTTGTTGTTTTAACATTTCGACTTTACCATTTTCGTCTACTTCTCATATTTCAGTCCAACCTTATCCTTTTTGCGAACATTTTGATAGTCTTCATGGGAAAGGTAATTTCGAACTAATTCAAAGTTAGTGCGAATCCGACAAAAATGCACACGATTGCGAACTACCTTTCCGTGCGAATAATAGTCAAAGCGAGGAAAATCGCGCTAGTTTAAGGCTCCCCCAGACCAACGCGAATTATTCGCACCGGATTCGTGACGGAGAATCCGCAGCGAATTTCATGGCGGATTCTGGATCTCATCAGATTCCTTGTATTTTCAGTACCGAAGAAGTTGGATGCTAGTGCTACAAAAGAATGTGAATCAATGAAAAAGTGATGTTAGATTTATCGAAATGTTAGACCCTTCAGAACCTGAACATAGAGCTTTTCAAAATATAGAAAATGATCCAAGAGGAGCAGCAAATTTTGCATTTTTTGTACGAGAACGCTTCGTTATATTTTTTAATTCAGGATTATAATAAATATTTTCAAATCACATAACCTTTTTTACAATTTTGATCACTTATCAGTAGTTTGAATTTCTCTTTATTGATTATAGAGTACCGATTCCTAGACCAAGCCTTTTTAAAGATTTTCTTTTGGCAAATTCCATAGTTTATTGATTGTATAATGACATCTGTCATTCTCAGTGACTCAGTATTGTGTTGAAATCTTTTGGACACTAATGTTATAGTATTATTAATGACTATCTCAGAAATTTCCTCACAAAATATCGTTGGACCCTCGTAAATAGAGTTGACCACCGCGTCACCTTGTGCTTCCTACACGTACTATCCGTATATGAATGTTTACCTTCCTATCGAGATACCTTCTTTTCCGACTTTTATCTGTTCCTTTTGATTTCCTATCGAACGTGCCTTCTTCACGGCCACTTATTTAACCTTCTTTTAGGGGGTTGCAAACGGTCCAGCGCCATTTTCTTTTTCTTTCTGCTGTAGTTTTGGTTGTGTGTGTGCGTTTTTTCGTTAACATCCAGATTTTGGGATATTAATGCCCCAACACCAGTTTATGGAGTAGTAGGTACCCTTTTATTGTGTACCTTACGTTTAGTTGTTTTGGTTTGGATACTACCCGTCCATTTTGTAATGGGTTTTTAACCTCCAGCGTGGAAATCCATTGCGGAGAACCACCATTCACACCCCTCCAGCTTGGTTTTGTAGCTGCCTTGTAGCTGTTTCGCAGCCGATTTTGTTGGAAGCCATTCCTTCCTTTTAAATAAATAAAGTAATGAGATTCAACTTACCATTTCCGCCTGCTTCTTTTTCTATAATAGTTCAAACCTTATACATTTTGCGAAAATTTTACTAATTCAATAATTTGCTCCACATCAATTATTTTTCATTAATTTTATTGTTGCGTTGCGAAATTACTGCTGATAATACAAAAGCGCATCTAATAAATACGCAGATAAATCGCACTAAAAACGAAGAAAACCGCAGTGAAAAGATATGTTGAGGCACCTATTGCGAATTTTCCGAATTGATTTGGGGGAACCTTTAAAGGAATAAATTAACTTTACAAACACATCAAACCTTACCATAACACTTTTTTCACGCAATCTTTATTCTTAATTCCAGTATTCTACTTTTATCCTGAACATCTGTAAAAAGGGTACACACCTAGATTATCATGGATGTGAAATGAGAATACTAGTTATTAACTATAATATTTTTTTATTAATATTAAGTATAAAAATACATTTAGTACAACAATATTATATCATCTAAAAGATATAAAAGATCATACAACAATTTTAACCATATCCGTAGACAACAATATTTTATACCATTCAAGACCTCTAGATTCTTTTTGTATGCTAAAAAATATATAACAAAAAAAATATTTCGAGCGCGTGAGAAGACTGTCATCTACATCAACAAAATCACGTGCGTTGCATGTTTTCTCGTATTTTTACGGGCGAGTTGGTACTATGATGGCTGGTTGTTTTAGTGGAACTTACATGGCAACTGATCTATTCTTCAAAATGGAGACACAATCTAACTTAAATGCTAAATGATCTCAAAAACAGCGCACGCTTAAAACTTCGCACTGATTGGCTTCAAAGAATAATCACAAATACTATGTCGGTTCAAAATTATATCAATACTATTTCAGAAATTAGGTATGTTGTTAAAAAGACTACTATTTTCTGTGAGAGTGTGTGTCTGCGAAAAGTTCCCAAATGCGTGTGGTCATTGCTACACTTTTGCTTCTAAACGACAAATGAAAGTCTCCTGAAGGTAAAAGCATATTTTTGCAGCAAACTTATACTCATAGCAAAAATATCAGTAGAGATGTAAGCCTCCCAAAACTTCAAAGTACCAAAGAATTTCGAGGTAATTTATTAAAACTATTTTTAAAATAAGAGATGATATTTTAGAAAATGGCTTGTTTTGATCGTTTTGAATATTTGTTCATATTTTTTCAAAAGACAAAAAATATTCAACAATATAAGTGCAGTGAGGGTCGAATACCGAAGGTTCCAGTAGAAACGTTTGAAAATGCTATGTTAGACTGGAAATTCAATCGTTTCGATGGACTAGATTTTTTTAATAAGAAGTAATAAAGTTTCAGTGCATTTCTTTTTGTTCCAAAAATATATTGTGCATGGACTATCTGTAACCTAACTCACTATGAACCAGACTATATACCTTCTCAATAGTTAAATATGACATAATATTTATGTGCATAACAAATGTTGTCTGTGATGCAGAAAGAGTACTGAACACTTGTATTGTTCCTATTGTTTAAAAGCTTGAAATGGCACTGTAAATTTAATACTGAATTAAAAAATAAAAGATATATACAAAACAATATGTCCAAAGTGTTAACAGCGTAACTAGGCGTCAAAGGTCAAAGATTCTATTAAGGCTTATTCTGTCAAAGATAAGGATCTAACTTTTGTTTATTGGAAAATATGTAAAGGAAATGTTGTACTTGTCAACGTGTCACATCAGACAAGAATTAATATTTATTAATGAATGACTGCTGCACACTTTTGGTATCTCCAAAAGAGATATCTATACTAAACCACTTTTCATATATTCTAAAAATATATAATTGACTGCATAACTTGTACAGATGAAAGGCCCCTTTTTGAATTTAAAGTGTAATAATTTAGATGTGCACCACGACTGTCTGCATACTTATTCCACCAAGTAATATCTTTATCTACAATCCACATGATCGTATGTTGGATATTAATTGTACGTGTCCATAGGTCTGCATTGCACTGTTATGTGCGATGCGGACATGTGGACGCAGGCCCTAACGTGGAGATCTGACTAGCACCATATAAGTAAACTGACTACTGTTACCCGCTAGTTACGCTACGCGACAGTAAACTTTTATATATTCAATACCACAACGCTCATATAAAGTCCATTCAGTGTCTAAAAACCAAATGTAATCAGATCTCGCTGGGATTTTGTCATTTTTGACACTGAATGTGCTGTATGTACTAGCCCGAGCTGACGTTCAATGTCGGAATTGACTGATTTCATTTGCAGAGTTCATAAAAAGCACATTGCGCGACATCTATAACGCCCTCAAGTCCAGGAAGATCAAGAATAAGAAACTGTATGGGATGAAATTGTAAAATGGTTACAAAGAACAGCATGTTATGTTATGGCAATATTAGGAAGTACAGAGTTGTACAAAGACTGATTTCATTTAATAATTGAATTGCCGTCTTTTGTATAAAATCTAATATATTGTTCGGAGATCTAAACTCCTTGAAATGGAGCCACTCTAGACATTGGGAGGCCAGTGTCCGTTGTCAAGAAAGGTAATTTCCGTAAGGCTTCTGAACTGTTAGACCAGAACTTATGGATCTCAAAGAATAGACAATCCCAAAATGCCTTGAGGGCTTAAATAAAAGCAAAAGGGCCTATCACCGATTTTTATGTTACTAGAATGTTCTTCTCGGTTCATCAATTCAACATTTAATGGCAAGTCAATATCTCTCGGTCTTTTTTCATGCCCCAATCTGTATGTTCCAAAAGAAATAGCGCTGGGGTTTTGCACAATATTTTTTACCGTATGTAATATTGAAGAGTGACTTTTGTACAACTCTGTATAGTAAAAATATCACTCTAATGTAGGATCCACAGAACTAACAAAATTGGAAAACAGAAGACGATACAACAGTAGTAATAAATCGTCAAAAGTCAAAAATAGCATTATGGCCATTCCAATATCATTTCAAATTGATCTACAGTTCTTGTTATCCAAAGGAGACTAACTCCTACACTATACCCATTTTCCTCATCCACAAACCGCCGAAGACAGTAACAGGCTTATAAAAATTGAGCAAATTGCTAGAAACAAAATAAATAATGTCCCAACACTAAATCACTATATAAAAAAGTCTCAATTTCATAGAAACTATAACCGCATCATTCCTCTTTTATCCTCTGATTGACTCCGTTTACATAATAATCGTTGACACTGGTGACAGCTGATCCGTTCTGCGCAGGCGCTTTCGCGTATCCATTGACGCCATTTTGTAGCTTTATGGCGCCATTTTGTAGCTTCGCGTCGCCATTTTGTAACTTCGCGTCGCCATTTTGGCAGACGCCGTTTCCGGTCCGGGCGAGCTTCAGAGCTGCCGCAGCCGCAGCTTGCTTCTTCCTGATGTAAGCCTCATTGTAGAACTCTTTGAAGAGGAAGAAGAACATGACTGCGTGCATACCGATCCACCAGACGAACGCGCGAGGGTAGTTGCATTCGGTGAAGAGGAGTTGAAAAGCGTGGACCATGATGGCGACGAACTGGATCTGGAAAGACAGAAATATAATCACATTGTTGAATGTCCCTTTACATAAATCAAGGCCCAACTAGCACAAACGTCATCATGACGTCGAAATTTAGTGATTGTTCCAAATATCGACGTCGTAATGACGTCTACTAAACGTCCTATTATGTACGTATACTGTAGCACGTTAAGACGTGTTTTTGACGTTATCTTTTTGGAATTACACATATTTTTATAGGTACGATTTAAGAGGGAACAAGTCAGGGGGCAGGGAAATAATATTATCTCATTCCATCCCTGATCGACGTTCACTCAAATCATTCAAAGTTATCTGAAACGATAAATTATTAAGGTACAATAGTTGAAACAGCTGGTTCAACAAGCATTGTTGAAAAAAAATCAATTTTGAAATTCCAGTTCACAGCTTATAGGGTATCACATCTTTTTGGCTCTGATGTGATGTAAAATCTGCTTCTGAGATGGCATTACTGGAGGTCTAAGCTGTAGGTTGTATGTGTTGATGATAATTACATTGGGTTTTTGTCTCCAATACACTTAATTGAGATTCAAAACTAGAAATTAGTTGCGCATTCACTTTTTCTTATCCATTCTAGAAATAGCATATACAAATTTGCTGAATTTAAAAAATGAGAGAGAGATAAGGAATAATTATATAGCCTTATACATGCTAACAGTAATTACACACAACGCGGGCGTAATCCTAATCAGTTTTTCCTAATTTATAACTTTGAACCTAACCTCTCTTCAGAAAGCACAACATAAAAATAACGCGTCGGGTTCAGCCAATAGATATACTTCATTGGCAGCATATTCAGTAATGATTTTCTCACACAGCAAATATCACTAATTTTATACACATGCTGACCAATACACATAATCATCCAGATGCGATCTTGCTATTCAACCAACTTTCTTCTCAGAGATAAAAACTACAGACACGGAGCACTCAGCTTCACAAAGCATATGCAACCAGTAAGTTTAGTTGAATGATTAATCCATAGATGGACGTTCACAACGATCCTAGAGCGCAAACGTGGAATGACTGTTTGCGCACTAAGAGCTACCTAGTATGCAAGTTGACATCTTATAGGTTTTTTGACGTTTTATAGGTTTTTTTACATGATACCCGTGCCGCTTGATAGATTTTTACATAATATGAGGTATTGTTGCATTCGTCTTAGTAGTGAGAGTGACAATGTCACTTCAATAATTTTATAAAACCAAAATGGCGTCACTCATAGAGAAGTCCTACAGTGACATCTGCACTGATCTGGGAATGCCTGCAAGAACTGAACACACTGGCGGAACACATCAGAGCAACTCTGATGTGGGAGGCAAGACACTCAGGTCAAAACTGTACCAGCCTTAGAGGCTGCAGTTCCATCGAGGACTTTGATCTGAAGGCTCCCGGAAAAGAAAAAAAAAGAATCGCCCTTGAAATTTTCATTTCTCGGGTTATAACCCAAATGGCTTAATGGATTTTGACATTTCAGGTGTCCTTAGATTCGCATTGATAACGAAATTGAAAATTCATTCTTTTCAGTTGCTGCAGTCGGGCTTTTTGTATTCTTTAAAAATGTACTCGTATTCTTAGTAATCCAGTTTTTATCATTACGTTACGACATGAATAATGGAAAAGAAAATATGATCAATATTACTAATTTTTAAACATTGTTATGGAAAGTACTCATATAAATCTAACTATATGTGTAAAACACGCAAATGATTGTAAATGTTCGTTTCGATGATCATAAATCATCAACTGTGAAGCATTAAGAACAAAACGATAAACACCTGCAGTTAATCCTAATTTTCTAATTTAGTAGCTGACTATAAACGTTAAAGTGCACGATGAAAAGTTAACAGTTGTCGAGCTTGTTCAAATTAATGTTCCCTTTTTGATATTACTGCCAAGAATTATCGAGCTCGCCAGGTTCGACCCGTTGATTGGTGATAAAAGCTTGTCGTGATTTTAAATGTGGCTAAAGGGTCGACAAGTTTGGAACAGAAAAATTGGGTTTTGAGGGCAAATGCGTGATCTATGCATCCAACTGATAAAAAAATGAGTATTTGTCAAGCCTGCAGCTGCACAAGATTTTTTGAAGATTTTCATCAACTGTGTGTCCATCACAAATTCACACATAATTTTATTTTCATTTTCCGTGTCGTGAACGTAACACTTCTCTGGCCTTTTTTAAGTACAATGACAATTAATAATTTTTAGCTGTCTACCCGGAAAGAGATCTACTATTCGTCATTTGTTTGTCTGGGCGGTCCGTAGGACCTTTGCCCATTAGTCACTGGAGAATGTATGTTAGTCGAATCTGTCAGTACTGGTTGCCCAGAAACCAGCCAATGTCAAGGAAAAGGAGGAAGGGAAAGAGAAGAACAAAGGAGAGGAGCAAAAAAAATAGAAGTTTTTAGTTTAAGAGGAAACACCTACAGTTTTTGACTTGGTACACAGATTAATTTTGAGGTGAACTAAACAAATTTTGATTCGGTTTTGTTAAAGTGTAATTTTAAGTTTATTTAAAGTTCTCGCGAATTTTTGATTACAGTGCGAGCCATGTCCTTGAATGTGTACGAACTTGCTCCACTGTAAAGTCCACTGAGTCGCGTTACAGGGTTGCTGTGCGGTTCCGCTTGACTATAACGTCGCTGCGCCTGAAGCTTGACATAATCCCTCAAGTAAGGAATGTCAAGGTCTCTGTGTAGTGTCTCATTTGAGACATACCATGGAGCGCTGCAAATTGTTCGCAAAGTTCTACTTTGCAGTACATGAAGACTTTGCATGTGTGTCTTGGCAAGAAAACACCAAACCGCATATTCTCAATTTGGAAGATCAACATAACAATTTTGTTTTCAAGGCTGCTGTATGTTTCTACCAGGCCATGCCTTTATCAAGGGTGACACCGAGGTACTTGGCAGAATTTATCCATGGTACACGATTGCCGTCTACAGAAACCTCTGCTGGGGGGTCTCGATGTTTTTTGGTACAATAAATAGTCGAATGACTAATTTTAATCAGCCACCGTTCTGCCCACTCTAGTACTTCTTCCACCGCACTCTGCAACCCATCGTGAACCAGATCACCAGCACACGACTGGGCGACAAGTGCAGTGTCGTCAGCATAGAGGTAGACTTCACAGTTGCTGGGGCAAGGGACATCATGGATAAAGAGCGAATAAAGGATTGGTCCTAAGACCGAACCCTGAAGAACACCGGCCCGTACTCGCCGTGTTGTTGACAAAGGAAACAGATCATTTTTTCTTTTCTTCGCTACTATACAGTGTGTTGCGACAATAGGTTGAACTGTCCTGTAGCATAGCGAGATCGCACAATGGGCTAATTGACACTTTTTCAAGCAGACCTCAAATGGTTATTTGTTCTATTTAACCAAAAAAAGCAATACTATATTTGTATTAGACCTAAAATAGACCGCGTTTCTTGGAGCATACCGTATGTATGGGACATACTCATATTTTACATTTTACTCGCTTAAACTGGACATAATCTGCGGCATCATCACAGTAATATTCCTTTTCAAATGAGTAAGAAGGAATACAATATTAGGCAAATCTATTTAGAGATTACGACGCATGAGCTTATTATTTTTTTTTTCATTATTATTATATCAGACGCACTGTACTTACATAGGAGTCTAGCTGTTCAACAGCTCAGTACAGCAAAAAATTACCAACCATCAATGTGCCAATTTTCGGTAAATTTGAACTTTCTACTTTTACGAATCCAACATTCAGGATTGTTTTTTCAATAAAACGAGAAGCCAGTAGGTTTTTACCTTGATTGTGAGTTTTGTAGAAATATACCCATGTGTGGACGGAATATTACTCATAAACAAATACATTTTGGAAAAATCTATCTATGGCATGTTATACATGATATTTGAGGGCACATTTCTTAAATATTGGCAATTATGCAGGGTGTCCCAATTTTGACCTACATATCAAAGTTATGATTTTTTAAATGGAATGTCTCAAATTTTATTGCATATTTGGACGAACCAATTCAAAAGGAGAAGATTGATATAACATACTATGGGGTTTTGGGAATTATCTACTGTCCAGAAAAACCGTCCACTTCGGCAACTCCTCAATCCGCCATTTTGAAATTTGGAGTGGTGAATTTTGTGTCAAAAAAACTTACACACCTCAGCTCTTATCTTATTTGTTACTTTTTCGAATTTTCTTTTTTGCTCATACAGAGTGGTCAAACACGCGAATTGTACTTTTTCTCAAGCATTTCAAATGCATCACCCCGTATAATTGTGCAAGTTTGGATTCAATTTTTTATAAGCTTTTTTTGGTATGAGGTTTGATTCAGATAAAATCACTAGATTTTGAGTTATTAAGCTTTTAATAGAACAACACACCAAAATTAAGGAATAAAATCACATCATCCATGGAAACAAAAGACAAACAGTGGGCTAGTTCCATATTGCCACTGAGAGTACAGATCTGACGTAAAAACTATTAAAAATCAGAACAGTATTCAGCTTCAAGCGTAATAGAGAAAGACAACTATAACAACAACATAAACAAGCAACTATCACCACTCAAGACCTAATCTACAAAAACTGCTCGAAATTATCTCCACCATATTGAATACGCAACCGTAGTCTTTGGATACGTGACCGTTGCACATCCCTCAGCATGTGTTCCCTTATGTTCAGAAAAGCATCCTTAATCCTTTATTTCATATTTTCCGGGGTAGATGGTGGATATCTATCAACCTCTTGCTTAACGTAGCCCCATAGACAGAAGTCTATCGGTGTCATATCTGGTGATCTAGGAGGCCAAGATATAGGCCATATATTGCGAGATGCTAGGAAACTATTTCATTGGGCTTCGTCCAAAACGAACACCATATTCACCATTTCTTCTTTAGAAAAATTCATTTTCAAACACGTTTTTAATAATAATGCTCACAAATCTAATTTTGAGAGTTTTTAACTGATCAACAATTTATTTGTTTCCAAGGATGATGCGGTATTTTAGGGAATTAAGCCGTTCCATAAAATACGTGCTAATAACCGAAAAAATAGCCGTAAAAACCCTTGTGTCTAGTATCAAAAAAAAATTATAAAAATTGAGTCCAAACTTGCACAAATATACAGGGTGATGCATTTGAGATTTTTGACAAACACTACAATTTGCGTTTTTGGCCACCCTGTATGAGCAAAAATTAAAATTCGAAAAAGTAACAAATAAGATAAAAGCTGAGGTGTGTAAGTTTTTTTTGATACAAAATTCAGCACTCCAGATTTCAAAATGGCGGACTGAGGGGTTGCCGAAGTGGGGGGTTTTTCTAGACAAAACACCATATATCATTAGCTAATTACCAAAACCCCATAGTATGTTATATCAATTTTCTTCTTTTGAATTGGTTTATCCAAATATGCAATAAAATTTGAGGCATTCTATTTGAAAAATCACAACTTTGATATGTAGGTCGAAATTGGGACACCCTGTATAATGGCTGACATTTAAGAAATGTGCCCTCAAATGTAATGTATAACATCCCGAAAATAGATTTTCCCAAAATGTATTTGTTTATGAGTAATATTCCGTCCACACATGGATGGGTCACCCTGTATAAAGAAGACAACTTTAGTCCACGAGTGACATACGGATGGCGTTTCTTGGTTTACAATTTGTATGACATCACATCATGGCCGATAGTGTTTTCAGCATTTCGTATTAAAAATAAAAAATATACTTTTTTAAATTGGACCTATATATTCATCTTGCTCTTTCAAAAATTGAAATCGATGTATTTCAGTTTCCTAAGGCATTGTGAGTGATGCTCATTTATTTTATGAAACTGAGTATGAGTTAAGTAGCCTATTTTGGGATGACACCGCTTAGAAAGACGAGAAAAGCTAACAATCACCTGAGGCAGGCATTTCCGTTCCCCAAGCACATCCATTAATTGCCATTGTACTTGAAAAAGGCCACCATGGTGGCAAAACGTCGTACATCACGAAATTAAAACATATACGTTTAATTCGGGCAGACAATGAAGTCCTGGATACCTAGACTATGCATAGAATTTACCCTGGAAACAAGTTTCCGTCTAGATTGCAAACACACAAGATTCTTTGAATATTCGCATCATAAAACTTTAAGCATTCGCCACGCAAATTTTTCTTTTCGTTTCCCCTGTCTACAAGTAAATGAAACTCGGCACCCTATGGTAATTTGGAGCCCTGCTTTAAAATATCATTAAAAAATCCTAAAGTATCGCGACGTACGCGAAGCCCTACTTTTCAGTTCTACATGAGCAAATAAAAATAAATAGTTTTTCTAAGTATTTTTTCCACATTCTCTCCGCTATGACACAAAACTGAAGAGCATTTCTGACAAGCTCAACTTAGGTAGACATAGTTAAAAAGTGAGAACTTGGCAATCTTATTGAAAATTCCAATTTTTGTAAAATTTAGAGATGTCTTCTCAACACAAAAATGACTTACCATTTGCAATGTAGTGATGTACTTCTTCCACCACAGGTACTTTTGAACTTCAGGTCCCATCGCACTTAACATATAGTAGGTGTACATGATGATGTGGACAAACGTGTTAAGGAAACCGAAGAATGTACTATGGCCACCTACAAAACGAATTTTTAATCAACATCCAGTAAATAGGAGCTAAAATATGGACATTAGATTAAAATTTTTACAATAATATCCATATGTTCTTTTTTATTTTAGTTTTTACATTTCTAGACCGGTATTCTCGTTCTCTAAACGCACAACGTAGGTAGATGACAATAATGAACTACAAGTCTGACAAAAATATATATGATAGTAATGAAACAATGATGATTTTATTATAAAATAACTGATTCTACATCTGTCTATTATAATGTCAGTATATGAAGCACACTGTCCTCCAGTTTAGTATACAGATGCTTATATGAATGTGGCGTTATATTTCTAGTTACTGTCTGCATTGCGTTTTTTTTTTCTAGTGGAAGCTATCAATTTGAGGTAAACAGAAATCATAATTCATGGCCGTATCGTCAGTCGTTCCTACAATAATTGCAGTACGCCTTTATGGCCTCCTTAATGTTGATAGTAATTTCTCTCCTTTAGAAAGGCTGGGGTATTTCTAGATTTCTACTGTCTCGCTCTCCTATTGTGAGACTATGTCTTTTTTAATTGTAGCAAAATTTCAAGCTGATATAACAGGTGTTATAAATCAAAAGTATTAACATTTGATACAAATAGATATTTGTAACATAACTTCGAAATAGAGCGCTGTAAATTGTTCATGCTTTTGATTTATCGTCTGTTATATCAACCTGAAATTCCGTACAATCCAAAAAAAAAAACATAGCCTCACAATAGAAGAGCGCTGAAGCTGACACGGAATAGTAGAAATCTATAAATACCCCATCCTTTCTGAAGGAGAGAAAAGACTATGAAAATCAAACCATAAAAATGTCCTACAATTGTAGGGGCAACTGACGATACGGCCCTTAGCCCTTAGCTCGCTCCACGTAACACCTGCTTTTATGTGGCTCGCTCTCAATCGAGAGTCTGTTGGTGACATTGAAAACAGCCCGGTTGCCAAGACGTGCCAGGTGGATTGAAAATAAAACTTTCGCACAGCAACGTGAGTTCCTTAAAAAATGCTTAACGCTTTTGTCATATGACCTTTTTCGCTATGCGTTTTAAAAACATATCGCTCTCAAACTCTAAAGAACGACAATACCGATCCTAGTTACAGTAATGAAGTTTTATAAGAAATACTAATTACCTAAAAGATTACGAGAAATCATTTTAGCTTATTTGCTTACCTGGAGTAAATTTAACTCCAAACCATACTGACATGGGCATCACACCATGATGGATGACGTGAAGTGTTGTAATTTGCTGATTTTTCTTCCTCAGCACAAAGAATATCTAAACGAAAATAAAAAACTATTAGTTCATTATGCAAGTAATAGACTTTCATTAGAATGAACCAGATTTCATATGTTCGATTACTCTTTTATTATATTCAATACTTATTCATTTTTATTTCTGATGTTGCTCTTTTCAATATTTTTTTCTGGCTTGCTATGCCTGTAAATAGTACAGGGTGGGGCATAAGTAATGAACCGGTTTGTCAAACTGATTGCTTGTTCTGTGGTAGGAGTAGGAAGTGGGAAGGGGTGTCATTATGCTTGTTGTTGTTGCTTCTTCCCGTTTTCAGTTAACGCCATGATTTGGACAGGTGAGCATCACAGCTTCGCTGTGCGTACGTTTTTTTGAAAATGGCAGCTCCGTCATCGCGACGCAGAGAGATATTCGCGTACAATTCAACATTCCGACTAATGTTACGTTCCCTAGCAGTAAGACAATTAGACTTTGGGCCCGTACGTTGGAAAAAACTGGATCCACTACAAGACCTAAGGCAACTGGAAGACCCAGATCTGTCACAAGAAAAATGTGATGGATGTGAGGGCAGCAGATGAATTGTCACCAAGGCGCTCTGCCCGGAGGCATGCGATTGCTTTGGTTGTTCAAGAACTGATGCCTGATGATTACATCAACCGTGTAAATCGTTGTCAAGAAATGCTTGAACGAATCCCCGAAACAACTTTTTCAGCAGCGACGAGGCCCACTTTCACCTCTCTGGGACTGTCAATAAACAGCCTTGGGTACTGGGCTGACAGTAACCCAAGGCTGAAAGACCTCTTCACTCATCTAAAGTAACTTTGTGGTGTGCGATGTCACAATTTGGGATCATTGGAGCTTATTTTTTTTAGGAGAATGGTCGAACAGTAGTTGCCACAGCTGATCGATATGTTTCAATGCTGCAAAACTTTTTTGAGCCACAATTGCAACAATTGAATGACAAAATGAGAATGAAATTGAGACAAATGTTTCCTGGTCGACTCGTGTCTTTGAGAGGTGACTTGGGATGGCCAGCGCGCTCGCCAGATTTAAGCTTGTGCGACTTGTTTCTGTGGGGCTATTTGAAGGAGAAAGTTGTTAAACATCGCCCCCAGTCTTTAGATGAGCTAAAGACCCGAATTGTTGAGAAAACATTCACCATACCCCCAGAAATGTGTAGAAAAGTTGCTCAAAACTTCAAAAATAGACTGCATCAGTGTATTGCTGCTGAATGCCACCATCTTGCTGAAGTTGTGATCAAAACTAAATAAAAAAATTGGATTACATACAAACTATAGTAAAAAAAAGTTTTAAGCCTATAAGTTATTCAGTTTTTCGTTGATACCTCCTCCAAAACGGGTCATCACTTCTGCCCCACCTTGTATAATGTAATAATTGTTTTATGTTGCATGGGTAAACTTTTGTCATGTAGGAGTTGCCGTCTAGTCAAACTTCGCCATAGTGTGGGAGGTTACCAATAAAGACATTTATCATTATTTACATCGTCAGATTCTGATATCAACTGGATACTATTCTACAGGGTGTCCGCGGACCGAAGCCCTCGAATAAAATAAGGAAAATGCGTATTTCGGAAAATAGTAAGTAAAAATGCGTTGAAAGATTTTGAGGTCATTTTATAAGAATGAAAATCCTCCATCGCTATTTGCTGGTAATTGAAAGTTAACGGGGTTTTGTCTAACCTAAGCAGTGGTTCTGAAAATGAATGCCTTTATCACGATTGTGGTTTCCATACACCATATGTCGATGTTTTAATTTATTGGATCACTTGATTTTGGAACATCCCATAATAATGAGAAAAATTAGCATTCCAGGGAAAAACATTAAAAGTGAGTAATAATGAGCAAAGTTGAAATAATTTGGTTGGCTGAATGTGGGGAAATCTGTGAAATTTTGTACATAAAAAAGTGATGTCCACCTCATCTTATTTATTTGAAAAACTTATACTTAGAAGAAACATAATTCTCTAAGTTTAAGATACTCTGATACCTCGTCACCATTCAACACTATTCCAAAGACGTTTTTTATATAACGCTGTAAGATTACGAGGGATGTCTTTTAAGTTTTGCATATGGAAATAAAACAACACGGTAGATAGTTTTAAATGACATTATTGTTTTTCGAAGTATTCTCCACGAAGATTAATACACATCTGCATGCGCTCAAACCAATTTTCGAAGCACTTATTCCACTCGTTTGCTGGCAGATCCAAAACGGCATATTTGAATGCGTCAACTGCTTCTTCTGGTGACTGGAACCTTTGACCGCGCAGTCTGTTTTTAATTTTCGAGAAAGTAAAGAAATCGTTAGAACTTAGATCGGGACTATATGGAGGATGGTCCAATAATTCCACGTTTTCTTCCGTTAAATACTGCCTTGTTTTTTGGGCTGTGGGCGAGCTTGCATTGTCTTGGTGGAGGATGATTTTTCTTTCGGGGTTGATTTTTCGAAGCTCGGTGATGACTTTTGGCAAACAAATGGTGGTATACCAATCCGCAGTAACTGCTCTTTGCTCATTAAGAGGAATTGTTGCAATTTTGACACAAATGTCGCGAACATCTTTTTCGAAACACTTCGACAACGGATGACTTTTGTTGGTTTTTCTTCACCTTGGAACACCGAAACAGCCGACTGTCGTTTATCTTCTGGTACATAACAGTAAATCCAGGATTCACCACCACTAACAATGATGTTCACATTTTTTGAGTTTCCCGATTGAAGCGGTCAAGCGTTTTTTGACACCAATTAACCCTGGCTGCTTTCTGCTCTTCAGTCAACAGGTGGGGTATCCAACGAGAAACTAACTTTCTTACTCCTAATTCTTCATGTAAATTTTTTTGAATTGAGGTCTTCAAGGACGCCTCAATCTCGCGATATGTCACATGTCTATCTTCAATGATGAGTTTGTGCACAGCATCGACGTTTTCCTGGGTGACTGTCGTTTTTGGTGCACCCACCCTGGGACCGTCGCTAAGACTCACCCGTCTCGCGTGAGGACACTGCACGTATTGTTGTGCAACTTTGAATTTAAGTTTACTGGAGGGTGAGGTTAAGATTCAGTACTGACGTTCGATCCCCGTGGCCTACTATGATTCTATATGGAAAACTTAAAAGACATCCCTCGTATATACCTTATCAGGTGAAGAATAACATAAAAAATACACAGCACTATTATTCAAAAAGAATATTATGCACATGCTACTGGCATAGTGATACAACTAAATTCACGTTTTGATTTTGTTAAGTCATTTACATTATTCTCTAAATTCCTGTAAAATGTGTTGTACTGGGTTGGCTGTGAGAGTAGCTGTAGACCTATTTTCGCCCTAATTAAGCTGGAATTATTATTACTAAAAAAGTGATAAAAATTATTCAATGGACACTCTGACATTCCATGATAAAGGTGTATATTTTGATGATACACTCAAATCAACATACGAACTAGCCAAAAGTTGTACACTTACCGTATCGAAGAATTCTGTGAATTTTGAAAAGAAATACCACCATGAGGCTCGCACCATCTGAAATTCAAACAACATAAAAATCACTAAGTATACGTCCACGTTTGTTTTTTTCGACGTCCTCTACTTTTACTACTTTAATTTCCTTCTCCTATGTCAGAAGTTATACAACAATATACTTAATTATTCTCTTCTCCAACGATTCTTGGCTCACGTCTTGAGAGAGGGTCAGGGTCACTGTTGTCTGTTTATGTGCGCAAATAAAGGTTTTTCGCAAAGTGACTTGATCAATTTGCTTAATCACATGGACAATTTTCTCCTTATTGGAATCAACATGTTATTAAAAATGAATTCAAACTACATGAAAACCTACATCATCAACAATTAGTTTGATTAAGGCACACAGGAAAGTCGGGTATAGTTTACCGGTCTTTCAGTCGTACGCCCTCAATATTCCCTGAACTAAAGACTTGTAATGCCAACTATTTAGCTTGTTTGATGTCCTCTGGCGCCAAGACGTGTCTGACAAACACTTCCGCCGTCGGTCTATCGTGAATCTTTGCTCATTCGGGAAACACTTTTTTACGCAGCATTAAACGGCTAATGTCCAAATAATCGCTTTCTGCTACTTGCGGTGCTATTCTCGTAATATTGATTATCATATGAGATCTCCAGCGAGTACCAAAGTTATAAAAAAAATAATAATTTGTATCATTCATATCAGGACATCTATTCTTGAGTTTGAGGAAGTAGAAATTGCCAGAGAAAGAGAAAAAAAGTGGGTGTGTCCAAGAAATGCAGTATTCCTGAAATCAGTTCTACCGAAAAGTGATAAAAACAAATTGGTAAAAATTAGTAGAAAATAGCGCTATATAACCTAAACATTGACGTGTCTGGCATTGTTATTGTCGTTCCTGCTAAACATATTGCAAACAATAGTTAATTTCAATCAATTGATGTATTGGAACGATATTATACACGAGGATGTAGAGGAGGCAGTTGAGGAACAGGAGATTGGGAGAGATATTCTTGGGCACTGAGATCCTTTCATAATTTCAGATCGAAAATTTGTGCAGATGTTTAGTTTCACCACAGATTTGGTGTATGAATTGCTGGAGATATTGACTCCATTCATACAACCACCCCCACGAGCTGCTGCACTTTCGATCAAAACAAAGGCAAGAGTAGATATTAAGTTTTAGTCATTCTAAAACAGTATCCTTTCACCTATGATTGAATTTTTTTGGTGCATTTGAGGGTGCTCTCGGAGAAATTCAATCATTTTAGCCTTTTGTTCATTTGTAATGTGCTTTTTTAAGTTTTCGCCCCCATAGATAAAATTATAAGGAGAATATCTTGACCAAAATCTCTGGTTAGTTTTTGACTGTCAAAATTATCTCCATTTTGATTGGTTTAACACGTTTACTGAAGCCTGGAAACCCTGTGTCTTCATTTCCTTCCTGCTTTCTATCGAGACCTTTCAAGAATACAGTATTTTCGAATCGGTAGAAAACCGGGGGAGTAGAAAAAGAGAGGGAGAGTGATTTTCTATTAAAGTCAAGAATAGGAGCACAGTACGGTAATTTGTACCACCAGCTGATTTAATAAATCGTACCGGTACAATTCAACCAACTCGGGTATTATTTTTCTGTCATGCCTCGCAAGTATTCAAAATATGGAAAATGGAGCGCGAACGACATGAAATCAGTAATAAAACTATGAAAAACGGGGAAATTAGATCGTAAATAAATATCCTCAGTTAGTCATAAGGATAATTTTCTGTTTTATCAGTGTGTTCAAAATCGGATATTCCTATGTTTGAGTCCAATAACTGAAATGTTTCATTTGTAACGTATATTTTGAGTTTTTTTGTTAGAGTAATATTTTATTTCACCTTATTGTGATCATTTAAATGATCTCGATGTTTCAATACATAAACCTCTTCCACTAACAATGAAAATTTTATGCATTTTAGTATGGTACAATTTATAAACCACGTGGTACAGGTTAACGAACCGATTCGATAAATTGTACCGTTTGCAATTTTTAAAAAAGCTTATTATTCCGAGTATTCACATACATCAGTCTTAAGTTGTGCATTTTTACAGAAACGTGTCAAATTATTTTTCTTTGAAGTTTCGTTCAATTCATTAAGGAGTTATTTCATAAAATATGTTAGGTGGTACAAATTACCCGACTTTACTCCAACTGCTGTATGATGAAAAATGTTATAACGATTCGACTTACCCTTAACGTACTCGGCTTATTCGAATAGTCTACCGGTTGACACCTAAAGCTGTATTCTCCTGTGAACCATCCGCCCATTCCAATCTGTAAGAAAAAATCTAAATTAAGCATATACATACTACTGTCTTACTATTGCATTTTCATGTTAATCTATCTAATATACACACCAGAGAAATCAGTAACAATGATTTACTTGGTTGAAATGGATCTGTTTCCTTTCCGTCTCTGTAACCATTATGAACAGCATACAACGTCGTTTCACGTTTTAAGCAGTACGGTATCGATACCTCCGCGTAACAGTCTGCGCCAATGAGTGCACTGAAACTCGCTCAGCTACGTGCTGTCAGAATAAATCCCCTCACTCTTGGCCATCCGCGATTTAATCGCTCAACTACAGCTTGTCCGAATGTATCCGATCTGCCGTGAGTTTACAGCAGAAAACAACACAAAGCAAGAATTGGACGTTATCAGGAAACACATTAATTTATTACTCATTCGCAAATAGTTGAGATGGTACTCTTACCTGAAGGACAAAACTCAAAGGTATAGTCGTTCTGATACCAAATGGAACAGCCAAAAAAAGGTGTGAAGACTCATACACAGGGTGTTTCAGTTTATTGTTGCATTACTTTAAGATTCGATAGAACTTTTAAAATTAATGCATAAAGTCTATATAAACATGGGTCGAAAAATGCCTGGCTTCCGAAATACAGGGTGTTTAAATTTACTTTCTAAAATAGTTTTTTTTTAATATTTCAAACAATGTTTGATGTATAACAGTGAAAATTGGTACACAAGGGTTTTTTGGTACGACAAAACGATCCATGGGCATAGTTTTACTGTAGCCGCTAGAGGGCGCTCTTTACTGTACCTGTAGTGTATTAGAATGACCGAAATTTTTTTCTTAGTGCAATTTTTTGCTTTTTGAATAAAAAAACTGATTCTTCACACTTTTCTACATAAAAAAGCTCTCTTGTGAATTTTCGGTATAGTTAGCCGTTTTTGAGATATTTCGATTTTTATGGTTCGATGCATTTTTAATTATTTATGATAAAATAACGTTAAAAAGTCAGTATCTCGATAATTTTTAGAAGTAGGCTGTGCCTGCAAATATTTTTGAAATTGAAAGCAGAATAAGGTTAAACGTCAATTATTTGACAGTTAGTTTTGTTGTCTGTTGAAACCTAAAACGTTTTTTTGCAATTGTGAATGCACGAAATTTAGTTTCTTTTACCTGTTTTTTTTTTGTAAGTTTTATAAAAATGCCATTTTTATTCTCCAATCAAGAGTTAGCGGATATTCATTTTGTGTATGGCTTTGTAAATGGAAACGCAGCAGAAGCAGCCAGAGAATACGCACGAAGATTTCCAAACAGACGACATCCAACTCGCTCAGTATTTGTACGAGTGCATCGCCAAATAATTGAAAATGGTTTTGGAAATCTCCAAAGGGATCAAAACATAAATGTTCGTCAACGCAGATTTACCCGTATGATTCTGCGTGAGTTTGATAGAGATCCGACCAGAAGTGTTAGGAGAGTTTCTGGTGCCTTGGGAATTTCAGCAAGCCATGTTCACCGTGTTCTTAGAAATGACCATAGACGTCCTTACCATTTGCAACCTGTGCAAGGACTACAGCCAGGGGACGGAGAACGAAGAATCACATTTTGTCAGTGGATTCTTGATAGAACTGATAATAATAGGGAGTTTTTAAGTAACGTTTTATGGACCGATGAGTCATGCTTCACTAGACGTGGAGTGGTAAATTTTCGTAATCAACATATTTGGTCGCATGAAAATCCGCATGCAGTTCGGGAAAGAAATTTTTAGCATGAATTTAGTGTGAACGTGTGGATAGGTATCTGCCGTAATCGACTATTTTCACCCTACCTTTTGCCTACAAGGTTAAATGCTGCGACCTTCTTGGAATTTTTAAAATCTGAACATGCAAATATGTGGGATGATGTTATGTTAAATTTAAGAAGATTGGCCTGGTTCCAGCTTGATGGTTGTCCAGCTCATTATTCGAGAATAGTTAGAAATTGGCTGGACGAAAATTATCCAGAAAGATGGATCGGCCGTGGAGGACCAGTCGCCTGGCCTCCACGATCCCCAGACCTAAATCCATTAGATTTCTTTGTGTGGGGATTTCTAAAAGAAAAAGTGCACCAGACTCCCGTAACCACAAGAGATATGCTAATATATAGAATCAGGAATGCATGTGATGAAATAAGGCCTTATTTGAATAATGCTATACCACGTTCGATCATTCGTAGATGTGAATTGTGTATTGAACAATTGGGTTTACATTTCGAGCAACTACTTTAGATTTTGTATGTTTGTCCTAACTATCCAATAGCATTTTAGTTGTAAATAATCAATTTAATTTGTTAAAAACAATATTGGAAAATTAAACAAATTAATACTGTTTTTTTGTGTTTATTTGGAGTTAGGAATTATTGCTGTATTTAAAAACACAATCTAAACGATCATCTTAATTACTTGTAATGCCCAAATCGAAAATGTAAAAAAAAATATTATTTTCCCATAAATAATTAAAAATGCATCGAACCTTAAAAATCGAAATATCTCAAAAACGGCTAACTATAACGAAAACTCACAAGAGAGATTTTTTATGTTGAAAAGTGCGAAGAATCAGTTTTTTTATTGGAAAAGTAAAAAATTGCACAAAAAAATTTTTTTCGGTCATTTTAATACACTACAGGTACAGTAGAGAGCGCCCTCTAGATGCTACAGTAAAACTATGCCCATGGTTCGTTTTGTCGTACCAAAAAATCCTTGTATACCAATTTTCACTGTTATACATCAAATATTGTTCAAAATATTTAAAAAAAAACTATTTTAGAAAGCAAATTTAAACACCCTGTATTTCGGAAGCCACGCATTTTTCGACCCATGTTTATATAGACTTTATACATTATTTTTAAAAGTTCTATCGAATCTTAAGGTTATGCAACAATAAACTGAAACACCCTGTAGATTCCATATAGATAAGAGGTAGGTGACAAAAACGCATGAAACGGAAATTTGACATGGGCGTCATACTTAACACTGATAGAGTTCAAAATTTCCATATTTCTGATTATTTCTTTAGATTACATACCACTCTGATAGTATATGCCCAGAATAAGGCTGAAATGTTCACAAGAATAAAATCTGGCACATAACAGCTCAGTTATTGATGTAATGCTAATCTTGTAACTATCAATCATCGCAAAACTGTTTTTAACCAGTTCACTGGGCAGTACCAAAAGGAAGTAAACATACAGTTATGCCTTGACAGATATAATGAAATAGTTAGTATGCCAGGTTGATAATAATCTTTGCTGGGGTCCGTACATTGACGTAATTTGCAATAAACTTAAAGCATACTTTGCCTTCGTCACATTTAAGCGAAATTTATACCGAGGCGCTGTGTGTACCTACTTATTATTATTCCTATGTTTAATTTTTATCCAACAAAAAAGAATTGTGTCTTTAATTTTCAACCTAGGAACTATTGAGTGGTCAGGAATTCATTTATTGAGAATCATCTATTAACAGTTGTCGGAATATACCTTTTCAAATTAATAGCCAGAATTTAGCTAAATACATTGTGATATTCATGATTCATGACCATAGTAGTGATTTTTAACTGGAAACACACAAAAAACATGTGAACGCGATTTCTCAGTCCATGAATTTACTTTGATTTTTTTTTGTTTATCAAAACAGAAAACATAAATGAACCGTACTAATCAACAAAACAAGTTCTTAAACTTTTTAGACATATTCCAATATAACACAAGTTTATATCTACAAATTAGGCTCCCTTGCGATGCTATTTTAGTAAGGCTGGTTTACGAATACTTAAGTCACTTGAAACATTCGCCGTTTGCAAGTTTGCATCGCCATTATCTTTCATTCGTTTTCGTTTTACCTCGTAGTCAGTAATATGCCGCTTTTAACAACAGACCTTGTTGTTTCCGATACTTTTTTCGTGAGTTCGTGGATTATTTTTGACATTATTCTATCCAAAGTCCATACATGTTCTTTTTTAATATACTAAGTGACATATAAATCCGAACACCCAGTTTAAATGGTTTTATTTTAATAAAATTTTGTATAAGTACTTAATGAAGCATAATAAGTAAATGATAAAAATTTCAAAATGATTGCACTGCTTTAAAGCCCTTTGACCTTTAATAATGTGTGGATGCACCCTCATGTGCTACGCATTCTCCAACGCGCCTAGGCATGCTTCTGACCAGGTGGTCAATGTCCTCCTGTGGTATCTCATTCCAGGCAACCACCAACTCATCTCGAAGTGCTTCTAGAGTCTGAGGAGGACGTTGCAAATTGAGCAATCTCGTACCCATCATATCCCACACGTGCTCAATTGGGGATAAGTCGGGAGATCTTGGTGACCATGGTAACAATGTGACATTATTATGCTGAAAGAAGTTGTGACTCTTGCAACATGTGGTCGGGCATTATCTTGTTGGAAAGTTGGATCTGCCAGGGTGTCAAGATAGGGTAAAAGATGGGGTTCTAGAACTTCGTGGATATAACGCTGCGCGTTCATGTTACCTCTGATGAAGATTAAAGGTGACCTGGAACCATAAGCTATAGCACCCCAAACCATAACTCCAACAGTGTGATGAACATGTCTTTCAACAAAAAACTGTGGATTCCTCCTTTCACCACGTCGCCTTCTAACCCTGGCACGACCATCGTGCATGCCTAAACAAAATCGAGACTCGTCACTAAAGACAATACTGTTCCATTCCTGATTCCAGAGTGACCGATGTCTGCACCACTCAAGGCGATTACGTCGGTGTTCTCGAGTTAAAGGGAGGACCCAGTGTGGCCGGTATGAAAACAAGCCAAAACTTCTCATTCGTCGGTAAACACTTCGCATGCCAATAGGTCTTCCGTGTTCTGCAAACCATTCATTTGCAATGGACCTGGTAGTGGAGAAACTCACTAAGTTGACGAAATCGTACAGGTCTCCGTACTCTAGGCATCGTAACCGATCGTAAAGGATGTCAAGAACCAAAATCCGCCAACGTTGATTCTTTACTG